AAGACCTGGCAGAAACCAGAGGGTACAGCTGTGCCAAGGCCCTGGGGCAGCCTGGTGTTGGAGGAGCACCACCCTGTGTGGATGGAGCAGGGTGAGGAGAGGGAGACAGGGAGGAAGGGGTGGGCCAAGGGCAGCACCTGGGCTTTGACCCAGGGGAGGTGGGAGCCACCTGCTGTGGGCAGAGAAGGGAGCAGACATTGGGGAAGCTGGACGTGAATCTAGAGCCCAGCTGAGTGGGAGAAGCCAGCGCTGGGCAGGACTGTGGCACCACACCGACAGGTGGAGATGGGTTCAGAGAGCATGAGGCTGCCTGAGAGGGTGAGCAGGGAAGAGGGGCCGTCCCTGGCCCCCAAGGAAAGAGGGGGCTGGCCGGTGGCCCCCCGCCTGCAATCCAGCATCTCCAGAGGCTGAGGCAGGAGGATCTGAGGAGCCTCAGCAAAAGCAAACAGGGCTTCAGCCCGCGACGGGAGGACGGGAGGAGGTGGCTGAGGCCAGAGCCGCAGCACGTGTTCAAAGTGTGGCCCCAGGAGCCAAGAATAGGGGCTGGCTCAGGAACTGCAGTCCACAGTGGCCCGTCCCTCTCCTAGGACCTGGGGCCACCGGGCTGAGGCTGCCTGAGGACAGCCCCCATCCAGTCCGACTGGCGTCCCTAAGAGGGGGATCTGGACACATGGACGCGCAAAGGGGCCAGAAGGGGCCCAGGGGAGAGGCAGAGACAGGCTTCCCAGCCCGCAGGGACCTGCCCCGGCCACACCCTGATTTGGGGCTCCGGGCTGCGGGCTGCGGGATGGTGATGGAGCTTCTGCCCTCAGGCCGCCCGCCCGGGGCTCTGTCGGGCAGACCGGCCGCCCCTCCCTCAGCTGCTCCTCACTTTCMGGCCCGTCTCCTCCAGAGAGAGCCTCGCTGGCCGCCACTGGCCGTCAGGCTGCCGAGCGCCACCGCAGGTCTGCTGCTGTCCTGGGAACGGCCACTCCCGCCCCCGGGCTCCTGGACATCCTCGCTCCTCCTGCCTCCGGCCACTGCCAGTCCCCCTGCTCCCACCACGCTGGCAGCCCCGGGCCACTCTCAGGTCCCCTCTGTCCCTCTCCTGCAGCAACTTCCTCTCCCTCGGACCAAGGTCGGCCCGGCAGACCCACGCGCCTTTCGGCCGCTCGCCCAGCGCCGGGGATCCCCGCAGTCGCTTCCCGGTAYCCGGCGCAGCCCCCTCCTTCCCCAGGCCCAGCCCGGGCGCAGTTGGGGACAGCTTCACGTGACAGGGCGCCCCTGTGAGGCGCTGCACCCACTCCCGCGGTAGAATTCAGGGGGTTGGTAGATTCACGGGCGCTTCACTGTGCTCTCCCCCCCTACCCACCCCAGGCTGGCGCCTGGCTCCCKGTCATCCCAGCAGCTTGGGAGGCTGAGGCAGGAGGATCTCACGTTCAAAGCCAGCCTCAGCAAGAGGGCGCTGAGCCACTCAGGGAGACCTGTCTCAAAACACAAAACAGGGCTGGGGGTGGCTCAGCGTCAGGTGCCCTTGGGTTCAGTTCCTGGTGGGGGGCCAGCAGCCCCGGCCCTTCCTGCCCGCCCGGGGAACGCCCTGTCCACCAGGCTTTGCTCGTTCTCGACCTTTCATTAGGGTGGGAGGGGACCTGTGACCTGAACGGCTGGCTTCGCTCACCTGTACAAAACGAGTGGTTTCCAGCCCAGGGCAGTGGCCGGCCTGTAGTGCCAAGCTGCGTAGGGGGACCCAGTTCAAAGCCGGCCTGGGCAACAAAGCAGGATCCTCAAACAGACAGACAGACAGACACACAGCCAGTCTGAGCCTCCCCACCTCGTGCGCCGGCGCGCTGTGGCTCTCTGTGTCCTGTTGGAAGAAACACTTTTGTCCCTCCATTCCCCACGCAGGGCCCTGGGGACCTCGCAGGGCACTGCAGTTCCTCAGGCAGATGCTGAGCCAGGGCGGGGCTGGGCCACAGCCGCACAGTGACTCCGCGCCGCACCTCAGGAAGGACCTGTCTCTCCAGAGTGGCCGTCCACTGGACCTTCCTAGCGGCACGCGCAGGGGCTCCACAGGTGCGAGCTGAGCTGTTCTTCCTCAGCCTCCTGCTCTTGCCTCTGCGGATCCCCCATCCAGCCTCCTTCCCACCCCACCTCCCAGGAGGCTTCCTCCTCCTCCCCTCCTCTTCTGCCTCTTTCTCCGTCACTCACTGGCAGGGTGGGATGGAACCTGGGTCCCTCCCCTGCTCAAGCACCCTACCGCTAAACTAGAACCCACTCCTTTACTTTCTATTTTGAGACCCGGTCTTGCTAAGTTGCAGAGGCTGGCCTCAAACTTGCCATCCTCCTGCCTCACCTCCCAAGCACCAGGTAGCTTCTTAAACTCACCCTATCACAGCGGCCTCGAGAGCTTCCTGACTTTCCAATGCTGTCTTAACGGATCAAGAGGAGAATTCTTGCCTCCACCTTCTGCCAGGAGCCACGGAACTTGAGGCTTCCCCTGGAGCCCCGTCCTTCCCGGTCAGCACCAGCCTCCCCGCTCTGAGCAGTTCAGCTGTGGCCTTCTCTGGCTGTGCGGACCCCTGCCCTAGAGCCTTATGCTTTCCCTGAGTGCCTTCTGTTTGGCCCCTGGAGGGCAGCAAGCTGGGGGGGGGGAGGAGCTGCGTGGCCCCACTCCGTGTGTACCCTCCACCCAGCCTGGTGCCCGGCACACAGGAAGCCATCGGTAAATGCTTGTCAACGAGAGAAGAAGAAACGGATGCATGCAACATACGCAGCCCTCAACAAGGATGTTAGGGAAGAATGTGTAAGTGGGGACACCGATGTCACCGAGGAAAAAAGAAGGACTCAGAAGACTGACGCAGGGGACTGTATTCGAGGCCGGCCTGCACAACTAGCCGACCCCTGTTTCAAAATGAAAAGGACGGGCTGGGGGTCCGAGGCGGAGAACTGGCCCAGCACGCAGGAGGCCCTGGCTCCCCCCAGGACTGCAGGACACACCCAGGGGTTTCTAAAGAGAGAGAAGCCAGAAACAAGACTCTTACTGGGTGCCAAGGGGTGTTGGTAGACGAAGGCTCACTTCACCCCAGGGTCCACTCACCCCACCCCGGGGTCCACTCACCCCACCCCGGGGTCCACTCACTCACCCCAGGGTCCATGCCCTCCTCCCGTGGTCCAAAGGACTTGGCCGTTGGGTGGCCTTAAGGAGGGTCCAGGAGGGAGGCCATCTGGGATGATCTCGGTGTGCCTGCTGGAGTCGCAGGGGTCACTATACGAGGGTCAACGTCAAAGATGTGGAAGGGGCACGGCCTGGTGATGGCAGTGGGAAGGGCGTGGCTCTGGCAGCGGCCGCCCCCCGGGATCTGACCGCAGAGGGCTGTCGCCGAGGGGTCCCCAGCCCGGGCTCCGCGAAGGCCCCCGCCCCCTGCCTCCCGGCTCCCGCCCAGGAGCGTCCGAGGCTCACGAGGTGCTGGCCCCTGCCAGGGGGGGTCGGGCCGCGAGCGTGAGGGCCCCCGCGCGGGGTCCCGCGACCGGCCGCGTCTTCGGGGTGGGGCGCCGCGGGGGCGCGGCCGGCGGGCGGCTCGGTGCGGCTGCGCGGGCCCCGCGGACAGCGCTCGGCGGGCGTGGCCGGTCCTCCAGGTCGCCCTGCAGTCCAGCTGCCGCGGAAGCATGTTGCACCCTAAAGGTATCGTCGCGGCCTCGGGGGCTTCGGCCCCCAGGGCCCGCACCTCGCCCTGGCCCCGGCCCGGGTGGGAGAGGCGAGGCCCGGCCATTGCTGACCCTCCTCTCGCCCCCTCAAGGGAAGCCGAGGACAGCGGCGAGCGGCCGGCATTTTCACAAGTCAGCGCTGCTGATGAGCCACAGGGACAGCCTCGTAAGTCGCCTCTGGCCCCGCTTCTCGATGGGGTTTTCCTTCCAAATTCCCTGCACTAACAGCGCGTGCACACACACACGCATACACAGTGCACACACGCACACAGTGCACACACGCACACAGTGCACACACGCACACACAGTGCACACACACGCACACACGCGTACACAGTGCACACACTCACACGCACACACGTACACAGTGCACACACGTACACACCCCCGCGCGCACACGCGCACACACACGCACACACAATTGTTTTCAGAGAGTGCCTTAAGAAGATGATTGAGCTGAAGCAAGACAGGGAATCTCCACCGAAACTTAAACGAATTTTTAAGGATAAATTGCATGAACGACAAACCAATGACAGGGAGGTGTGGCTTCTGGACGGTCTGGTGAGTCATTTGTTTGTGTGTTGAATTGTGTCAATGGAGMGGAAGTCAACCGCTAGCAAACATTGTGCACAACAGGGGTTACAATGTAACGGGCTGCGCAACCTTCRAGTTACATTATTACAGTGCAAGGAAGGCCGTCCCCGCCGGTTTCCGTAGTGTAGCGGTTATCACGTTCGCCTCACACGCGAAAGGTCCCCGGTTCGATCCCGGGCGGAAACAATTGTGTTTTTTTTTTTTTTTCTGGTTTTGTATGACCTTTTCACTTTATTATAGAGTATATTTTTCAAAAGTTTCAAAATTCCTATGACAGTATTTGCTGCTTCACTTGTTTTTACTTCTAGACTCTTAAGGATATTTATGGAATTTAAAAAGTGATCCCAAGGTTATTAAACAGAAAAGAAAACCTGGGTCTTAGGCTATTGGAGAATTGAGATTTAAAGGCAAAATTAATTGCTGCGTTGGCCGGGAATCGAACCCGGGTCAACTGCTTGGAAGGCAGCTATGCTAACCACTATACCACCAACGCGGCGGCGACGGCAGGTTTCCAGGCACCCCTGAAAAGCAACATGGGCGGCCCCGGCCATACCACCCGCACGGGAGCGTCTTTCCCCAGCTCCCGGCAGGTCGGGCCGCCTACTCGAGCTCCCCCCGGCGCCCGAGAGCGGTGGTGCGGCCGAGCGCCGTCCAATCGCGGGCCGCCGCTTGGGCAGCTCAACTTCCGGGTCAAAGGGGCCTGAGCCGGCGGGTCCCCCGTGTCCGCCGCCGCCGCTGTCCCCCGCGCCCGCCACTTCCGGGGCCGCAGTCAGGGGCATGGAGCCGCGAGCGTGARGCGCCGCTGGCCCCGGGACGCCCTGCCCAGCCCTGCCGCCGCCCCGCGCCCCGGTGAGCAGCGCCCGTGCCCGTCCCGCCTCTCCCGTGACCCCGAACCCGCCATTGACCGGCCCCTCCTCGGCCGCGACCCCGGCCCCGCCATTGAACGGCCGCCGCGGCGCCTCCGCCCGGCCTCCCAGCGCCGCGGCCCCGCTGTCGGCCCGCTCCGAGCCCGCGGTCGCCGCCTCGGCTTCGCCTCCGCCCGGGCCCCGCGCCTTCCTCCGGCCGGTCCCGCCCGCAGGGCCACCCCGTCGCCGGCCTCCCTGCCCATCCCGCCGGGGCCGCGCCCAGGTTCGCTCTCGCGGCCGCGCACCTTGACAGCGCCGCCGCCGCGCAGCCCGCGGAGGTCCCGACCCTCCGTCTGCTGCCCTCGAGAGCCCCGGGGAGACAGCGGCCGCCTCCTCGCACCCGCGTCCTGCCCACAGCCCCTCGCCACCACCTGGCCCTAACCAGCCCGCCTTCTCGGGGGGCCTGGGCCTGTCCAGCCGCCCTCTCGCCCCACGCAGCCTTAGGCCAGTCCTGACACGTCCCCATCAATATCGCAGCTAAGCCATGGAAGTGACCCATGCCTTCCCCCCCCCACCCCTAAGGCCTGCAGGGCCCTGGAGCAAGTCGCTTGCCTCAGCGGCAAGAATGAACCTGCTTTCGAGGAGCTGGGACTAACGCCCAGGATACGTGGACTGTAGTCACCAACCCCTGTGGCCCCTGGCAGGTCTTAGGGGACTGGGCAGGGTGGGAGGACCGTGCTGCGGGGCTGTGAGCACAGCTGGAATCGAGCCAGGCAGAGAGGATTAGGCCCCCAGCCACCTCCCCTGTGGGACACCAGTGGCAGGACAGCAAGCTAGCACACAGCTGGCCTCTTCCTCAGCCTGTGTGTTAATGGCACATCTGTTCTGTCAAGGTCTGTGTCCCATGCCAGCACCTGGAATGGAGGTTCCTTGGACCCTTTAGAAGGTCAGTTGTGCTGGGGTTGGGCAGCCAGGCAGGCTGGGGTGTGGACTGACTCTGGAACAGAGAGAGAGACAGGAAGTGGCTTTCTGTGGCCCTGGGGTCACTGCCCTCAGGGACCATTGGCTGATGGCTGTAGCTTTTTGTGCATCTGCTGGAGGGTTTTCTTTTATCCATTGTCCCTCTGATGCCCCTGGTGAGAGTGCTCTGGGGGACCTCAGGGAGAGGGGGGCAGTGCCAGTCCAGCTGGACCACATCCCATTCAGTGCCGGCACTTGCTGTTGATTGGAGAAAATTCTGGTCTGAAATGGACTCTAGTCGAGTCTTCCCTTCGGTGTGGTTTTAAGTAACTTAATTAGTTGACAGCACTGGCCCGTCCTTCTCTTGGTGCTGTGTGTGTGATCCCCTTAGTCTTCCCAGGAGCCCCAGATGTAGGGACTGTGTAGACCCATTTTATAGCTGGGGAAATTGAGATGCAGCCAGATTAGGTGGCTTCCCCAAGGTCACACAGCCCCGAAGTGGCAGAGCTGAGGTTTGAACCCATTTCTCTCTGACTCGGGCACCCTCACTTTTCACCACTATGAATGCAGCCAGCGCCTCCTTGTGGTGACAGCGCTTCCACTGTTGCCGCCCTCCTGTGTCTAGGTGCTGGGCACCAGGTAGTTGGGGCCTGGCAGCTTGGGCCTGGCTCTTGTAGGCGACTGAGCCAGGGGTCTCTTTGACTTTAGACAGCATTCAAGACAGGACAGTGACTTGTGCCTTCAACCTCAGTGTTGACAGAGTATTTCTGAGTGTCAGCCGTGGTTCCAGCTAGGGGATAGGACAGGAACTGGACAGCTGTGAGCCTGCAGCTGGGAACCCCCCTCCAGAGAGAGTGGGGAGGGCTCACTCCCCGGAGGGGGCCTCTTAGCACTGAGACATTTGGGCTGGGCTGTTCTCTGGGGTGAGGTCCTGGGCACTGCTTGGTGCTAAGTAGCATCCTTGGCCCCCACCCACTCCAGGCCAGGAGCTTCCTGTCCTGACAGCCACACGTGTCCACAGACATGGCCTGGTGTCTCCCCCGGGAGCAGACTCACCCCCCACTTGAGGACCCCCCCACACCAAGGAAAGGGTTGCACGTAATTGCTCCTCGAGACAGCATCTTTTTTGTTTTGTTTTGTTTTTAATGTTTTATTTCAAAGCCGGCACATGGTGCTCACCTGTCGTCCCAGCAGCTTGGGAGGCTGAGGCAGGAGGATCGTGAGTTCAAAGCCAGCCTCAGCAACAGCGAGGCACTGAGCAGCTCAGTGAGACCCTGTCTCTGAATAAAATACAAAATAGGGCTGGGGAGGTGGCTCCGTGGTCAAGTGCTCCTGAGTTCAAGCCCCTGTACCAAAATATAGATAAGTGAAAAAAAATATTTTGTTAGTTGCAGATGGACACAGTACCTTTACTTACTTATTTATTTTTATGTGGTGCTGAGGGTGGAACCCACTGCCTCACATGTGCTAGGCAAGCGCTCTGCCCCTGAGCCCCAGCCCAGCCCCGTTGGGCCAGCATTCTTGCACAGATATGGTGACGGTGTGGCCAGGTGGCAAGTGTGGATCGAGTCTCAGAAAGGGTGGCATTTGTGGTTGTTTGGGGCCTCAAGGATGGAAATGAACGTGTCACAGCAACCACGGGAGGCCGTCCCAGCAGAGGGCCTGGCCACTGCAAGGAGTGGGGGCATCTGGTGCTTTGAGGACAGTGAGGGGATTAGCGTGATGGGGGTCATGGTCAGGGACGGAAAGGAGGGGCCATGAAGGCCTTCAGGAGTGGCCACAGTCAGGGATTTGGGACAGGAAGTCTGCTTCTGGCCAGTGCCCCTCAAATAGCATCTTTAGAGTCATCGGAAACACTAAGGATGTTTTCCACCAAGTTACAAAGAAAATAACAGTTCTGGTCCCAGGTCAAGGGCCTGCAGATGCCAAGGCCTCCTTGCTGGCTGGCAGAGTGCCAGGCTGGTGCGGGCATCCCACGGCGAGGCGGGGAGCTCACTCCCTGGGGTGACTGGCCAAGAAGACGCAGCTCGGGGAGGCGCTGGCTTCCTCTTGCCCTTCAGGGCAGGGCCTGAAGCCACCACAGCCTGGGATTCCCCCTGGCATCAGGTGTCCCCAAGCCTGGGAGGTGCTCTCTGCCCACCGTGCTGCTCATGACATGTCCTCTGCCATGCAGGCCCCACCCTCCCGAGGTCAGCGAGCAGTTAATGCGGAAGGTGAAGAAGTTGCGTCTGGACAACGAAAACTCGGAAGGCTGGAGAAGGTAAGGTGGCCTCGGGGCTCCGGATGGGCGTGGGGGGCCCCCAGATTCTCAGCAGCCCAAGGCGTTTCCCCAGACCTGCTGAAGCAGCAGGGCGTGGTGTGGTCAGGTGGGTGCCCTGGGTGGCTTTGGGTGCAGAGTGGCTTCCCTGGCCTTCACCCACTTGATGCCAACTTCTTGCCCAGTCACCAGGACCAAAAATGTCCCCACACACCGATGAGCTCTGCCGGGGACAGACTCACCGGAGAGAACTGGTGGCCAGGCTGCAGGGTGGTGGAGCCTGACAGTCTTGGGCTCTGCTCCCCTCCTTTCCTGAGTGACAGGGACAGGCCTTTCAGCCCCTCAGAGCCCCTGGTTTGCCCCAGAAGCTCACTGCTCCCCGAGTCCAGCTCCCCAGCTTACCGTGCACTTCACCATGCCCTCACGGCCCAGGGGCTCCCACGCCTCGGGGCTCGGTGTGCGATGTAGGGTAGGGCCTGCGGTGGCTCCTCGCCCAGCTCCTGCTCCAGGCACTGGCTCCCAGTACGTGGAGCATTTGTCCTTTTGGGGAGCAGGAGGATAAAGGGCGGTGACTTCCCCAGATGCAAATTCTAGAAAGGGGAGCACTGGTGTCTGGAGGATAAATTCACTGGGGGTCCAGTGGCTGGTGGCAGGTGACCTTCTGCATGGGCTCCATGTCCTGTGGGCGTAGGCTGCAGGCCCGCTGAGAGCTGAAGGCCTGAGTGGGACCGAGTGCAGTACTGCCCCCAGCAGCCCCACTCAGCAGGACAAAGCATGGCCTGGGCCAGTTGCTCCAGTCCCTTTGTGGCTTGTCCCCAGGGCATTGTGGTGGGACCCCACCCCCTGGCTGCCCTCCTGGGTGCCCTGCTGAGCTCTGCCTCCCTTTCTGCCTCCTCGCTTTCTGGGCACCGAGAGCTGCAGCTGGTGCTTGGAGTCCACGGTTTCTTATTGCTTCTTCCCTCCTCCCTCCTCGTGGCCCTCTTGGGTCTCTGGTGGACACAGGAGCAGCCGGTCCCACCCTTGAAGCACCAGTGTAGGCAGAGGCCCCAGAACTCCAGTCCCACCTTGACGGTGCCCTGCATGTTTGAAGCTGTGCCCTGGAGACGGGTTGAGAAGGCGCCCTGCTGGTTGGCGGGAGGAGAGTAGGTGGCCTGGGCTAAGTGGCTTGGAACACACTTCCCTCTCCCAGCTGTGTAAACTCCTCACAGGAGAGCACAGGGCAGGGGTGGCGGAGGACACGCTTCCTCACCTCTGCCGTCCCTGGCTGGTGCCGTCCCTGCCTTGGCCTGGATAGCAGAGGGGCTAGTGGCAGGCTGGGCTCCAGCTAGAAGGTTCTAGTCAGGTCTCGAAGATTCCTAGGCGTTCCTCCCGATGTCTCGTTTCATTTCTCAGCTCCTGGATCGTTTCTTTGCTTCCTGGGCTCTCTGCGGTGATCGGAGGCAAGATAAGGCTTGATGGTTCTTTGCTACGAAAATAAGCCATGTGATTTCTGAAGTGCTTCCGCTGGGCTCCCAGCCTGTGGGGTCCCCTTGGGGAGATCTGAAGATCGTGATGTTTTTCCCCTCCCGGGGCAAGGCTTGAACGAGGGTGGCACAACGCGGGGAGGGGGTGCTAAGCCAGTCAAAGCAGTTCCCCCGGCTGGGTTTTCTGGGCTCATTGCCAGCAGCATGTGGGACCGTGTGGGTCCTGGGCCCTGCCTGTCACTGCCTGCGGCTCCCTGCTGCCCTGGAGGTGGACAGCAGTGCTGCTGTGGGCCAGAACCTCCTGTGTGTGACCCACAACAAGGCACCCATCCGCCCAGGGCTCGGCTTGTTTGACCCAAGGGCCCTGGCCGGGCTAGCGGCCTCTGCCTGAGTCTTCAGAGCACCTAGGAGCTGCTGGACCCACCGCTCCTGGCTAGAGCTGGGGCAGCCGCTGGCTCTGCTGTGCCTGGACCTCAGCCAGCAGAGGGTTAAGCCAGGGAAGCAGTCCTCTCTGTCCTTCGTCAGGGGTCAAGCTGGCGGGGGTCGGGGGGCCTCTGGGGTCCATCTCAGCAAATGATGCTCGGAAGCCACCACCTCTGGGTGGCCTCTCAGCTGCCTGCCTGAGCCTCCTGCAGTGTCCGCCTGCCCTGTGGGGCTGGGTCCGGGACGCCCCGGCTCCAGGACTCTCCCTGCGATGCCTGCTCGATGCCTGCTTGGTGGACGCCTTTGTCTCACGTCCTCAGCTCCGACTGGCAGTGAGCCTTTGCCCCTCCAGCCTCTGGCTCCCCTCCGCACATCCGCTGTCGCAGACCTGAGCGAGGGGACCTTCACAGGGCCTGGCTCTTCAGAGGTGCTCAGGGACACCTGCGTGTCTGTCTCCTGTGCTGGTGGCTCTGCAGGGTCTCTTCTTGGCCAGGGACAGTCTTTGGGAATCGGGCTGGACCAGGTCAGGGCCACCCTTGTGCCCTGCCTTCCCTCCTGTGAGCAGCAGCTGCAGTTTCTGTTCCTGCTGCAGGAGCCACTGCTGCCGACCCCTGCGGGTGGGGTGTGCAGGGACCGGCGCTGGGGTGCTGCCGAGGGAAGCCAGGCCGCCTCCACTGTCCTCGCCAGGCCACGCTGGGGCCTTTAGAACTGGGTCAGCGCGACTGGGTGTTTGGATTACCTTAAAACAAATATTTGCCTCTCTGGTCCAGCCCAGTCCAGCAGCATGTGCTGAGCCGGCATGAGGGGGAGGGCCGGGGGCCCTCCAGACCTGGTGGGGGTCAGTGGGGTGCCCTGTGGGAGGAGGTGCTCGTTCACTCTCACCTGAGTGACGACTGGCCGAGTTCCCTGTCACTCTAAGGGAGGTCTGGGTGTCCCCTGCAGTGCAGCAAGCTTGCAGGTGACAGGCAAGCACTGCCCCGCACCCACAGGCCTGCATTCCCTGACCGAGACCGCCTCCTTGCAGCCTTTGCACGCCGGGGGCGCCAGGTCCCCCATGAGGGCCTGGGACACAGCCAATGTGGGGGGACAGGCATGCAGCAAGTAACTACAGTGACAAGTGCTTGAGGGCGGGGACAGCTAGGTGGCCTGAGAAAGTCCCAGAGATGGGATGGACGATGGCTGCAGAGGTTTCTGGGACCTGCCAAGTCTCTAAGCGAGGAGATGTGTTTAGAAGTTGGTCAGGCGAAGAGGAAGCAGTGCTCCAGGCAGAGGGACAGAGGCGCAGGCCTGGTGGGGGGCCGGGGGCTGAGAAGGGGGTGGGCTGTGAGAGCCGGTGGGGCTCCCACGGTAGCCTTGAGGGCGTGGTGAAGATGCATGCGGGGTACAGGGGTGCATTGTGTATGCTTCTTGGGGCTGGGGGTGGGCCCCAGCTCTGCCCAGTCTGGGACTGCCTTCCCCCTGGGAGCCGGGAGCCGGGAGCCGGGAGCCGGAGGGTTGGAGGACCCGCTTGCTGCGGCTGTAGGGTCCCAGGCAGAGGTGGCTCCAGCCTTTCAGCCAGGGTGACTGCCTCGGATCCCAGAGCAGTGGGTGGAGAGGAGGAGAACACTTTGAGACCCATTTAGGGGGACAGGGAGGTCGCACAGGGGTGGGACCTGCTGCCAAGGGGACAGTTTGAAAGCCAGACAGCCCTCCCTCCTCAGCCCGTCCACCGGTCCCTCTTTCCTCACAGCTTGTCACTGCATTCCGAGGGAGCTGAGAGGATGTCCTGCGGGGCCCCGGTGATGGAGCGGGCCGACGCGGGCGACATGGACGACCCTGCAGCCCGCTTCCAGGTGCAGAAGCACTCGTGGGACGGGCTCCGCAGCATCATCCACGGCAGCCGCAAGTACTCGGGCCTCATTGTCAACAAGGCCCCGCACGACTTCCAGTTTGTGCAGAAGGCAGATGAGTCGGGCCCCCACTCCCACCGCCTCTACTACCTGGGTAAGCCTGCCCGGACGCCGCGCTGCCCTGAACGGGCAGGTCTCGGGGCAGTTGTCACCGCGCCTGCTCAGAGGACCTGTGTTTGCAAAGTGCCTGTGGTGGGCCTGCTGTGGGGACATAGCGCCACAGGCCGTGGCACCCACAGATGGCACCCTGTCATTAGGAGAGCTTGGGGCAGGGGCTAAGGGAGGAGGACGCGCCCCCACGAGGGCTGGCCAGCCGTGGGGCCGAGCGCTGGCCTGCCCATCTGCACTGCCAGACACTGGTGGCTCGGAGCCTGGAAATTGTTTCCACATGGTCAGCTGGGCCTCTTCCCAGGCCCCTGGCCCAGGCTGGTGGGGCACAAGAAACGGGACAGTGCACAGAGATCCCCTGGGGGAGGTGGCGGACTTCAGTGGGAGCTCACTGTGTAGGGACGTGTTGTGAAGGATCCTCGGGCTCACGGAGAGGCAGGTGGCTTGTGTCACCGCCAGTAGTTCATGGGTGGCTTGCTGCATGTTTGCCACCCGCCTCAGATTCCTAGAGGTGGGTGCTCACGCTTGGTGGCGTCCTCTCTGGGCATGTGCCTGTGAGCACACTTTCTCCGTCAGGCTGTCTGTCCACCAGACCCTCAGCACTGACCAGCCTCGTGGGCCCCTGCAGGCAGGCCAGAGCCGCCTCCTGTAGGGGACCAGGAATACGTGTAGAATGAATGGATGTCACCCTCCTTTGCCTGAAGGGCATATAAGGAGGAGGCCCTTGAAGGAATCAGCCAGGCCTGGTGGCACATGGCTGCTGACGGATGGCAGGGCTCTCAGTCTGCCCTGTGGACACCAGGTCAGATTGCTCTGTGTGGGCAATGCCCTGGGCACTGCAAGATGCCGAGCAAAACCGCCTCCAGTTGAGAGCCACTGTCCCGGCTTCAGCAGGAGCGGGGTCATTCTCTAGGCCCACGCTCTTGACCCGGGATCCCTGAGACCACGCCCACTCGCGCCTGGGCCTCAGCCGGTATTGGAACCAAAGAAGGAGCGAGTCACTGCCGTCCTCTGCCCGATGCTGAGCATATGCTCGTGACAGAGACCCTGATGGACACTGGTGCAGTCCCTCAGACGGGCCTGTGGTGGGAACAGAGCCAAGAGGGGCGTGGCCAGGAGCGGGCCTCTGCAGACCTTCGCCTGAGGGCCCCGGGGCTTTGAGCTGCATCAGCACCGTGAATGGGAGATCTCGCAGCCCTAAAGCTGAGAGCTCACTCCCTGGCCCTTTGCAGAGAAGCGTTTGCCAGTGCTAGTCTGGAAGTTAGGACGGGAAACCTACAAGTGTCACTCACCCAAGAGGGAGCTGCGGAGGGCGCCCAGATCAGGGAGCTGGCGGGCCGCGACCTCCCCTGGTTCGCCGTTTGCCCCGCGGCACCCACCCGCGTGCCCATACAGTCCTGGGCCTGGGCTTGTGCTTGTGCTCTTGCCCCCTGCTCAGGGCGCTCAGCGAGGTTCCTGCGGCTGCCCTGAGGTGGTGGCCTCCCACAACTCAGTGAGAGAGTGAAAAGTCACCTCACCAGGTGGGAGGCCACGTCTGTGCGGGGTTGCACAGGCTGAAACAGGTGGGGACCGTGCTCCCTCCAGAGGCTCAGGGGACATGTGTTCATGCCTCTTCCAGCTTCAGTGGCTGCCAGTGTCCCTGGCTTGTAGCCGCATCTCGCTGTTCTCGGCCTTCACGGTCACAGTGACGTCTTCTCTTCTGTCCTGCTGGGATTCCCTGCTGCCTCCCTCTTAAAGGACACCTGATCGCTGGGCTCAGGAGGCTGAGGCAGGAGGATCTCGAGTTCAAAGCCAGGCTCAGCAACGTAGACCCTGAGTGACCCAGCGAGACCCTGCCTCTAAGTAAAACAAAGAGGGCTGGGATGTGGCTCGGTGGTTAAGTGCCCCTGCGTTCTATTCCTGGTACCAAAACCCATCAAACCCCCAAATGAGGACATGTGCTGACAGCAGGCCCCCCAGGATGATCCCCAGCCCCAAGCCTCCGTCTGTCCGTGGTGGCAAAACCCATTTCACCACAGGGGAAGGCATTCATGTCTAGGCCCCAGGACAGGTACATCTGGGTTTGGGGGCCACTGTTCAGCCTCTAGAGCTGCGAGAAGGGACAGAAACCCTCTGAACTGGTCCAAGCTGCAGAGGGCATCTCCTGGGGAGATGGGATGTCTCATGGTGCCCAGGGCTCAAGGCCCAGCTGCCTCAGGAAGTGGACCAGGAGACTTTGGGAACCCAGGTATGGCACCCTGTGCCTACCTCTGTCCAGGCCCTGCCACCCAGGTCTCCTGCCGTGCATCCCCACAGCTCCAAGGCACCAGTGTACCCCAGGACTGGAGGAAGGACTAGGTCCACTGTCCAGTCACCTGCAGCCTGTGTCCAGGTGGGCGGGACCCGTAGCCTGGGGCTGCTGAGAGCCCGGCCAGTCGGGGGGCAGCTCCAGACAAGGGTATGCTCTTAGCAGAGACCCCAGAATACACTGCCTCTGTTGGGGTGGTGGTCACCCTCCAGCCGATCACGTCACTCCCCACCAAGCTCCCAGGGCTGCCCGTGGCCCCCACGACGATGGCATGTCTTGGTGCCAGGCCCAGTTGCTGCCCTGCGTCATGACCTGCCTTAGGCCCAGGTTTGCCCCCCGAGGCACATAGAGCTAGTCACTGGGGCCCTCCGGGAGCGCCCCTCTGTTCTGACTGGTGGAGCCTAGTGCCAACTGGGTGGCCCAGTGACAGGCGCCTTCCCACTCCTACTGCAGGGAGATGGGCAGAGAGGCCTGGGGCCTGGCCTCCAGCTGTCCTCTGCGGCCAGTCCCTCACCCCCTCCCACAGCATCTTCTATTAGGAAGAGGAGGGCTCAGGGCCCTGGGCAGGTCTCGGGCTCCTGTGGAAAGAAAGCCTGTGACTGGGGAGGCTGTCCTGCCATGTGCCTGCCCTGCCAGGCCAGCCCGTGAGGCCCTGCCACTCGGTGACTGCATGCAGTGTTTGCACTGTCCTGTGTCACCTGCCATGCCTGTAAGGGCAGTGGGTGATGGGTGGGCAGTGGTGTATGGAGGGGCAGGACTGGCAAAAGGGGAGGCACAGTGGCCACGGGTCAGCGGCTGTCTTTAGCCCTCTCCACCTTTTGCCTTGATGCCAGGCGTCACTGTGCTGGGAGGTGCGCCTTGTCCTTGGCGAGGCCTTACCTTTGACTTCCTACTGGAAGGCTCTCCTTGAGGGTCCCTGTGGGTGACTGTCCCCAGGCTGCTCTCTAGAAAACCGCCCCCAGCCCTTCCTGTTGCCCCGCGTGCGCTCTTACGTGTATGTGTGTGTGCTCGCACATGAGTGTGTGTTTCTCCGTTACTGGGGGGGACCCGGGGATGATTGGTCCCTGAGCTTCATCTGTACATTTACTCATTTATTCATTTATTGGTGTCGGGGAGATTGAACCCAGGGGTGCTTAACCATTGAGTCACATCCCAAGCCCCTTTTTCCTTTTAACTTTTTTTTTTTAATATTTCTTTAGTTGTAGATGGACACAATATCTTTATTTTATTTATCTGTATGTGGTGCAGAAGATGGAACCCAGTGAGTGCTTCGCGTGTGCGAGGCAAGCGCTCTGCCACTCAGCCCCAGCCCCAGCCCCAGCCCCAGCCCCTCCTTTTAACTCTAATTTTGAGACAGGGCCTCACTAAGTTGCTGAGGCTGGCTTTGAACTCGTGATCCTCCTGCCTCAGCCTCCCGAGCTGCTGGAAGGCAGGTGTGGCCGCCGTGCCGGGCTTGCCCCTGTGTTGCTTCTTTTTGGGATCTGAGCTGGGCCTCGCCGTCCACAGCCTTGTGCCTTTCAAGTCGTGAGACTTGGTGGCTCTCGGCAGTGTGTTTGCAGCATCGCACACACGTCACCCCTGCCTAGTTCAGAGTGTTCCGTCGTCTCAGAGGAAGCCTGTGTGCAGGCAGCACTCACGCCCGTGCTCCCCAGCCCTCCTCAGCCTCCTGTGTCTGGAGTCCCCTGCTCTGGACATTCGTGTCAGTGCAGTCACACTCCGCATGTTCTGGTCCCCACTCGCCTGGTGCTCCTGGAAAGCAGGGAGTCCCCGCAGACTCAGGGCCTCGGCCAGGCGTGATGGCGCATGGCGCACACCTGTGGTCCCAGCTGTTCTGGTTGGATCACCCAGGGGTTTGGGGCAGCAAAGTAAGACCCTGTCACTTAAAATAGTTCAAAAGATAAAACTCAGGCTTTAGAGAGCAAGTCGCTCTCCCAGGACTCAGGCCCTCCACCTTCTTCCACACAGTCGTTTCCACGCGCACACGTCTAAAGTTACCTCTGCGTTTTTCACAGGTCTCTTTAAAAGGAAGCCCTGGAGCGGTCTCCTTATTTTTCTTTGGGCTGCTCGTCTGCCCCTAGCTGTCCTTCATAGGTGTGCCCGGGGCGCAGCCTGCCAGGATGAATGCCCTCCTCGGCGTTGAGCCCCGAGGGCCTGGCGGGCGGCCTGCTGTCCCCTCAGAACCCCGTGGGAAGGAGGAGGTCCTGAGAAGGAGGGTAGCAGCAGCCTGGGTCTTTCTGCCCAGAGACTTGAAGAACATGCAGGGCCAGAGCTGGGTTCCGTGGCGGAGTACTGCCCAGGGTGGAGCTTGCCGGCTCTGTCCCCAGGACACAGGAGATAAAACAGATACTCAGAGGAGGAGAAAGGGGCTCTGGTGTCCTGTGATTCGTCGTTAGCTAGGGCAGGTTCACAGGCCACCGCCGGACACCCTGTGCTGTTGGAAGGTGTACACAAGGAGAAGCCCAACTTGGTGCCCAGCCTTGTGGCAGAGGTGTCCTCGATCCCACAGGGCCAGGCAGCAGGTGCACCCTCCTCCTGTGTCTGCAGGTTCCTCAGCCCCAGGTCTAGCCATGTCTGTTATCCAGCTGCCACTCAGTCAGACCCTGTCTCAAAAACGAATAAAAAGGACTGGGGTGTGGCCCAGTGGGAGAGCATTCTTGGGCTCCATCCCCAGTCCACACACAATTTTTTTTCTTGTTATTGTTTTCTAAACAATACAACGTGACAACTGCGTACACAGCGTTTATTAGGTAATCTGAGTCACCCAGAAATGACTGAAAGTCCGCGAGGGTGTGTGCAGGTGCTGTGAGTGCTGGGCTGTTGACCTGCGGGACTGGAGCATCTGCATTTTGGAATCCTGGGGGGTCCTGAGCCCAATCTCCCAAAGATGCTGAGGAAAGACCTCATTTTATCTGCTTCAAAGAAGTCCTTAGTGCCTTCCACAGTAAGACCCATCCCAGCCTCAGAGACACAGCACTTGAAAAACCGATGGACTGCAGGTGACTTCAGGTGGCACAGGCATCGTGTGGCTGGCTCTGTGGGCTGTACTTCATGCACCTGCACAGAAGCCTCCCTCGGCCGCCATGTCCCTGGTCACCTACAGGAGCGTTAGATTGAACCAGTGCTTCTCCTCAGGGGAGATTCCATTCCTCAAGGAACACTGGGCACATCTGGGGACATTTGTGGCTGTCACTTGCTCTTGGCAGGGAGGGGTGGAGCCGCAGTGTGCAGAGCCCACCCCTGAGGAGGCTGCTGTCCGAGTGGTGAGAAAGACTTTCCCTGGCTGTCACCCCGGGTGGGTTCCTCCCCAGCCTCCCCCTCAGAGGGGCCGTCAGGAGCCAGGCCTGGCGTCCCCAGCGCCCTTCCTATTCTTCCATGGGCTATTTCTCCAGTAATCGTGGCCACCATATTCAGTTCAGATGCCTCAGAGGAGGAAGACCCTGTCGCTGAAGCGATCACACCCAGGCTCTGTGGGGAGGGGTGCTCCGTGGGACCCAGCTGCAGGGACCCGGAGCCCTCTGGAGGCCCTGCCCCCTGCTGGGTGCTCACGCAGGCTGTTGTGCTGTGCCTGCAGGGATGCCCTACGGCAGCCGGGAGAACTCCCTCCTCTACTCGGAGATCCCCAAGAAGGTGCGCAAGGAGGCCCTGCTGCTGCTGTCCTGGAAGCAGATGCTGGACCACTTCCAGGTGGGCTGCGTCCTGCCGCAGAGCCCTGTCTTCCCAGCATGAGGTCGCCCGGCCGTGTGCCACAGAGGGGGGCCCAGGCTGCCCAGAGCAGGCTCTGTCCTAGCTGCAGGCCTCCCTGGTGGAAGCTGTCAGATGCAGCCTTCCCAGATGTGGGGCCCGGGGCTGGTCCTGAGGGCGGTGGTGGCCCTCCATGGAGCCCGGCTTGCGAGTGGGTGCAGCTCAGGTGGGGAGGGCCTCCTGTGTCCACGTTGCTTCACACGAGGCCGAGCAGAGCATGCTGCAGCTCCATGCATCCCAGAGCCCCCCTCCATGTGGCTTGTCCCCTCTTTGTCCCCAGTGCCCAGCTGAACCACTTTGTGTTCTGCACAGTGCYGATGGTTCTTCTGCTTGTCCTTTATTTTACTGAGTTTTGAGGGACTGGGGATGAAGCACAGGGCTTCTGTGCACACCTGGCTTGCACTGTACCCCTGAGCCACCCCTTGGCCCAGTCTGCTTTAAAAAAATTCATGCCTTCGCTTCGGCCACCACAGGGCCCTGGTCTGCAGGTGTCACCACGCTGTGTGCTGTGCGAAAGGGCTCCCTTGCCGGGCCTGGGCCAGGCGCTCAGTGGCCAGGCTTGAATCCCTGCTCCCCCAACTCTTGCAGACGGTGTGGATATTTAGGGTTCGGGTGTGGATATTTAGGATTCGGGGGTTTTGATGGAATGCTCTTGGGGGGAGGGGCTGCAGGAGTGGCAGTGGGCACCTGAGAAGAGTGCCCAGTGACTGGGACAGAATTGCCTGGAGAGACTCCGTGGCAGGGGGGTTAAGGAGAGCCCTCTGCCACTGCCGCGCAGTCGCTGTGCACCAGGCCAGGCTTCCTTGCCCCTCTGGGCACAGGTCCAGGCTCTGCCCACCTGCTAGGCCCAGCATGCAGAACCCTCGCAGGCGTGGCCTTGCAGGGGGACCCAGGCCACCAGGTTTCTGTCTGTCCCCCAGGCCACGCCCCACCACGGGGTGTACTCGCGGGAGGAGGAGCTGCTGCGGGAGCGGAAGCGCCTGGGCGTCTTCGGCATCACCTCCTACGACTTCCACAGCGAGAGCGGCCTCTTCCTCTTCCAGGCCAGCAACAGCCTCTTCCACTGCAGGGACGGCGGCAAGAACGGCTTCATGGTGAGCCCTGGCCTGGCCAGGAAGGCAGGGCCGCTGGGGCCCCTCCCTCAACCGGCCTCTCTGTCCTCAGGTGTCCCCCATGAAGCCCCTGGAGATCAAGACCCAGTGCTCGGGGCCCCGGATGGACCCCAAGATCTGCCCCGCAGACCCCGCCTTCTTCTCCTTCATCAACAACAGCGACCTGTGGGTGGCCAACATCGAGACGGGCGAGGAGCGGCGACTGACCTTCTGCCACAGGGGTGAGGACCTGTCGGCCCTCCTGGGACAGCAGCCTGCCAGCTTCCAGACAGCCCTGCCACCGGCTCACCCGGGCCTCGCCTCTCCCTGTCGCACACCCCAGGCACCGCCTTGCCCCCCGGCTCTGTGCCTGCAGCTTCCGTCTGCAGGAGGGAGCCCTCCGTGGCTCCGGCCCACAGCCCAGCGGGCACTGCTGCTGCAGCCCCCACGCACGCGGGGCTCACCCTTGCTGTCCTAAGGGTCTGCACCGTGACCTGCCACGCAGGTGCCTGTGTCCCCACCCCCAGGCCCCTCTGCTGAACCCACAGGCGTGGCCCCTGGAGGAGGTGCTTCTGGTGTGGAGTGGGTGCTGCCAGGGATCTCAGCACCCTGCAGTGCCCAGGAGTTCCCCTGCGTCCACGTGGAAAGCGTGGTGTGTGAGGCTACATGCACCTGAGTGGTCCCATCTGTGGTCTCTCCCCCAGGTTTGTCCAATGTCCTGGACGACCCCAAATCTGCTGGCGTTGCCACCTTCGTCATCCAGGAGGAGTTCGACCGCTTCACAGGCTGCTGGTGGTGTCCCACGGCCACCTGGGAAGGTGGGTGCCCTGCCCGTGCTCCGCCTCAGCAGGGCCTCCCAGCAGTCCTGGGCCAGGGCTGCCCTTGATCTCCTTTACCCTCGTCCCTTCTTTAAAGGCCTGGTCTCCGCACACCTGTGAGTTCTGAGGTGCTGGGATTCACTGCAGGGATTTTTGGGGTGCAGTCGGGCCTTCACACCCCACTCTGGGCTATTTTGTGCTGGGAATGGCTCTGTTTGTGTTACCATCGGGAAAGTCAGGCCCAGAGAGGAGCTGGACTAGGGTGTGTCTGGAGGGCCCTGGTGAAGCCCCGTGGCACCGCAGAGCCCGCATGCAGCAGGGATGGGTGGCAGCAGGGACGTCCTGCACCCTTGGCAGCCTGCTGTGCCCTCAGGGTCAGAAGGCCTCAAGACGCTGCGCATACTGTATGAGGAAGTGGACGAGTCGGAGGTGGAAGTCATCCACGTCCCCTCCCCTGCGCTGGAGGAGCGGAAGACAGACTCCTACCGCTACCCCAGGACAGGCGAGTGCCGCCCCCCGGGCCTCTGGGAACCACCGTGCATGGGAGGTCCCTGTCCACCCCCGCCGGCCTCCCCAGGCTCGGCACAGGGCTCTGGGTCAGGAGGCTGCCCCTGGGTGGGGTCCAGGGTGGAGGCCAAGCTGCTCACCCTCAGGCTGCCCCACAGTCAGGGCTCTGCAGCAGCCACGGGAGGCCAGCGCAGTGCTGCCCTGTTGGCCACCCACTCAGGAGGCCTAGCCAGGAGGATGGCTGGACCCCAGGAGTTCAAGGCCAGCCTGGGCAGCATAACAGACCCCACTGCGTAAAAACAAGATCCGTGTCTACAGCCATCTTTTTTATAGACGGTTCAAATCTGAATTGCACGTCACCTTCCTGTCCATGGAATGCCTGTGGCCCTACATACCTCGAGTGCCGTCTGTCCTTTAGTCCTCTTTCGCCTTCAGAAAGGACATTTAGCCGTTAAATCCAGGAGTCGCGGCGGGTTTTGGTCCTCTGCCAACAGGGCTGTGGGGTCCCCTCCCACGGCCCTGGCCCCTCGGGCTGCGTCTGCCTCTGCCCTGGTCTCTTCCCTTTTTGACCCCTTGGTGGTGCCGATGTTCTTGTTGAGCCAGGTCACTCTAGAGCAAAACCAGGCACCCGCTGGGGTGTGGCCCAGAGCCAGCTGGCGGCCACCCTGGAAAGCTCTGAGGGCACCACTGCCCACAGCTGTGCGCACGGAGCCTCTGCGCCACTTGCTCCAGTCCTACCTGGGACCGTTGGTCTCCTTCTCACCTGACAGATGGGGAAGCGAAGGCTCCGAGACGTCACCCTGTCCTGGTTCTAGAGTGACAAGTGCCAGAGACCAAATTTGCCATCTGTCTGGGAAAGGGCAGCGTTGCCCTCTGCTATGGCCTGGCCCTCCTCCTGGGCCCTGAGCTGCAGCCCTCTGGAAGGGCCTGGCTGTCCCAGTGGTGGCCGCCTGCCTCCTGAGGGCTCGCCTGGCTGACTGGAGAAGACCCGTCCCCTGTGGCGTTGTCAGGGTGTCATGGTGCCACGTCCTATCCTCTTAGGCCAACTGTGATGCTTTCCCAGGGCAGGGTGCATCAGCTTGGTGGATGCCCCCCGCACCCCCGACACGGGCTGGCCTGAGCCTCTGTTTGTGCTCGGTACCACTGAGCTGCCCAATGCCTTTTTTATTTTGAGATGGGGTCTTGCTAAGTTGCCCAGGCTGGCCTTGAACTTGACATCCTCCTGCCTCAGCCTCTTGAGTTGCTGGGATGACAGGCGTGGCCACTGTGCCAGCCTGGTCTCTGCTCTTAAGCAATAGTCAGATGTCATATCCCTGTCAAGAGAATGCGCCAGGCACTAAGTCAGAAGGTCCGCCTAAGGGACTTTGTGCCGGTGCCAGAAATGGACATCTTGCCGGCAGACCTTTGGACCCTGGCTTCTCCCCACCCCTGGCCCCCACTGTGCCAGCTGTCCACCTCCCTGTGGGTGTGGCCCTGCCTCCTCGGCCTGTGCAGCAACCCTGGCACACACTGGGGACACCCGTGTGTGCTCGGCTCACTCTCCTTCTCACAGGCAGCAAGAATCCCAAGATCGCCCTGAAGCTGGCCGAGTTCCAGACAGACAGTCAGGGCAAGGTGAGGCTGGTGCTGCCTTGGGTGGCCTCAGGAGGAAGCGCGAAGGGGCTGGAGGACAGGGTGGGACCAGGGTCTGCTCRCCGCCTCCCCTGGGCTTCCAGGCCCCGAGTTGCCGCTCCGGCCGGCCGAGGCCACCTTCTCTCGGAGCTTGGGATTGCAGAGCCGCCTGCCCTGCTCCAGGGCGGCTGTGCGTTCGCTGCTGTGCCAGTGCCATGAGCGAGCGGGTGGAGGGTCCCGCGGCAGGAGCAGATGGGCCCTGCTGTGCCGTGGTTCCACAGCTGACCTGCAGGTCCACACCCCGCCCTGAGCACTCAGAAAGGGAGCTCCCCTGGGGCGAGGCAGGCAGGCGGGTCCCCACCCCAGCCCTTGGGCAGAACCCCACGGGTCAGTCTGTGGACCCAGGGGCTTCGTGGGATGTGCAGTGTCCTAGGACCTTCCGAAATAGCATCAGCATCTGGTGTGAGGGTCCTGTCACCCGCAGGTCATCATGTGGGGCCTCAGGACCATGCCAGGGCCAGGCGCAAGGCCCCTCAGCCCAGAGCCCAGCGCCCTCCCACCCAGCCCCACCCTGCCCTGGGGTCTTCTGTGAGTCGTGGGCTGCAGGCACCCAGAAACGGGGCTCCTGGAAACTCAACACCTCACATGGGACAAACAGGGGCCGGAGGAGGGCACTCCAGGAGTCCAGAGGACATGCCAGGCATCCAGAGAGCTCAGACAAGCTGGGGACACTCGTGTGCTTTTGCAGAAATGAGGTCTTTCCCCAACTCGGGGCTGGTTCTCGGCAGGATCAGGCCCTCAGCAAGCCTTGCTCACGCTCTTGCCCAGACGTGCCAGGGATTTTAGGCAAGTCTGCCATGAGTGACCTCAGTGGGGTCCACAGGAGTCCGTTCACTTGATGGTTCTCAATGGTCACTTGCTCTCCGTGACACACAGTCCTGAGGCCTGCACGGGGTGCACCAGTTGAGCCAGGCGGTCAGCAGGCATGGCCCTGCCCCGTGGGTTAGGGCTCTGGGCCACCAGCCTCCTCCCCTCTGAGGCCTGCTTGCTCAAGGCCCCTGGATCTGCAGGAACTGCCCAGAACAGACTGCTTGGTCCCCAGAACCCGCAGGGTGCTCTGGGGGGACCCTGTCTTGGAGGCCCTGTCGAATGACTGTGGAGTCTGCTGGGACTGTTGTCCCCACTGCCACAGAACGGGCAGCTCAAAGAGCAGGAGGCCAGAGTGAGGGTGTGGCCCCGAGGGAGAGTGTGCCAGTCTCCTGGGGTCGCAGGTGGCCATCTTCTCCTGCGACACCACAAGGCGGCCCCATGGTGTGTGTCCGCCCCTGTTTTTCCGTCATGGGTACCACGCACACTGGATCTGGCTTGGTCTGTTCAGTGTGAGCACACCCTGACTCGGAGACACCTGCCGTGACCACATCCCAGAGCAGGGAACTCGCTCTCACCCCACATGGCCGCCATCTCCTCAGGTGGGGTGGGGACAGGCAGAGTGTGACCCACGTCTGTCTCCCTAGATCGTGTCGGCACGGGGGAAGGAGCTGGTGCAGCCCTTCAGCTCGCTGTTCCCCAGGGTGGAGTACATCGCCAGGGCTGGCTGGACCCGGGACGGCAAGTAGTGAGTGTCTCTGCGTCAGGTGACCTAGGGATTCAGAGTGGGCGCTGGGAACGACGGGTGGGCTGCCAAAACCACTGCTCCGACTGCCCACGGGTCTTGGGGTGATAGGACCAGGGCAGGGGACGTGTCCTGCCCACTTGTTCCCAGAGATGCCTCCCCCAGCCTGTCAGAGGCAGGACACTCTGGTCATTCACTCCAGTGTTGGTGGAACTAGGACATTTGGGGGTCAGAGATAATTGCAGGGGGCCCAAGTTCCCTAGTTGTAAGAAACACCAAATCATACCCTGACATGGTGACACACCTGTCATCCTAGCAGCTTGGGAGGCTGAGGCAGGAGGATCCCAAGTTCAAGCCAGCTGATCCACTTAGTGAGGCCCTAAGCAACTTAGCAAGACCCTGTCTCAAAGTAAAATAAAAAGGACTGGGATTGTGGCCCCTGGTACAGCACCCCGGGTTCCATGCTCAGTTCCAAGTCACAAAGTAGGGGCGCCCCCCCTTGTTCCCCTTCCCATTTCCTGCAACCTCCACCCAGAGGCCGCGGCCAGCTCGCCGTTCCTTCAGCTGTGGGCACAGTGGCCTGTGTGCTTCTAAGTGAGGGGAGAGATGAGCCTCGTCTGCTGTGAGGGGCACGTCCCCCCGCCTGCAGTGGCGAGGCCCACACTGCCCGCCCACCCCTCCCAGGTTGCTGTGGCTGTGAGCGGCAGCAGCTACGAAAGCTCCCGCATGGCCTGCAGAGCTGGCTCTGTCCCTCTCTGTCCCTGTTCCCTGACGCTGCGGGCTTCCCCTGGTCTTGCTTGGCAGGTGGCAGGCCCAGCCCGCGGGCTGCCTCCAGTCAGGCCGGGACGTCCTGTGCTCTTTCCTGCCGTCCCGAGGCCTGCGTGGAGCAGCCCCACCCCACAGGGCAGGTTTTGAGAGGTCCACCTGAGGCCGACTGGAGTGAGGTGGACCTGGGGCTGGGCTGGCCAAGAAGGAAGCAGGCCCATTTGAGAAATGGTGCCCAAGGCCTAGGGCCGTTCCCTCCGGTGCTGGGGTCTGGCCGGCTGTGCCACTGAGCCCCAGCTCGGGTACTGGCCAGGTGCAGGCCAGGGACACCAGGGAGGCGGGGCTCGGCCCCCCGCTGCCCAAGGTGCTGCTGCACTGTCCACAGCCTCTGAGGCCCCCGCCCTCCTCTCCCCTTCCAGCGCCTGGGCCATGTTCCTGGACCGGCCACAGCAGCGACTCCAGCTGGTCCTCCTCCCGCCTGCCCTGTTCATCCCGACCCCTGAGAGCGAAGAGCAGCGGCTGGCCTTCGCCAGAGCGGTCCCCCAGGACGTGCAGCCACACGTGGTGTACGAGGAGGTCACCAACGTCTGGATCAACGTAAGGGGGGCTGGGGCTGCGCGTGGCCTCCTGGGCGGGCCCCACGTGGAGAAGGGCTCATAGCCGGGCCGTCCCCAGCCAGCAGGGAGTCCGGGAGGCTGGCCAGCTGCAGAGCAGGCCTCCCCTCTCCTGACGCCCCCTCTGCCACACAGGTGCACGACATCTTCTACCCCTTCCCTCAGCCTGAGGGCACCGAGGAGTTCTGCTTCCTCCGAGCCAATGAGTGCAAGACGGGCTTCTGCCACCTGTACAGAGTCACCGCCGTCCTCAAGTCCCACGGCTACGACTGGACCCAGCCCCTCAGCCCTGGGGAAGGTGAGCAGAGCCTGGCTCCCGGTTGGCGTGGAGGCCAGTGCCCCATCTGTCCCTGGTGGCCCTGACAGAGTGGGTCCCCAGGGCAGGCACTGGAGCAGCCTCCCACGGGCCCTTGTGTTCAGCAGGGGCCAGGGCCGTGACGGCAGCCGCCGCCTGTTCTGCCAGCGGCATCTGTGGAGCGCTGTGACCAGCCCTCTCCATGACCAGGGCTGGGAAGGCGGGCTGCGGGCCACGTCCCATCTGCCACTGGCTTCATAGAGTTTTATTGGCACATGGCCAGGCCCACTCATTGGGTGGCCTGCGGCTGCTTCTGTGTCACGGGGGCAGTGTCGAGCAGCAGCGTGGAGCAGCGGCAGCTTACAGAACCACAGGTGGTGGCTCTCTGGCTCCCTGTGGAAGTGGCCGCCCCCTGCTCCAGGTGCCCCCGGTACAGTCGTATGAAGAGGCAAGACGCTTCTTGGTGTTTAGAAGGTTCTAGTGGAAGACAAAGCAGTAATCCAAGAACAAGGAAAGATCCTGCCTCGGGAGGAAGGCGAGTGGAGAGGCAAATGCTGCAGAGTGAGGGGCTTCTTTCTAGAAGGGGCTCAGGAGGATGTCTCCAGATGGCATGCCGCCGAGCGGAGACTGGAGCGCTGATAGGCATACAGCACGCTCCAGGCAGAGGGCACGGCCTGCAGAGGCCAGGGGGGCAGGATAAGCCTGGTGTGTTGGAGGCACAGGGAGGAGGGGAGGCAGAGGAGGCAGGGCAGCCCTGCAGGGCCCTGTGGAGGACTCGGACTGGACCCTACAGGAAGCAGGAAGTTGCTGGTCTCACTTACACGGGTGTGATGTGAGTCCTGGTCTCTGGCGCAGGCCGAGGGCAAGTGAAGCGGCGGCACCTGGGGTTCCTGCACCATTACAGCTGAGTGGGGACGCGTGGTGTGGAGGCCCCAGGCCCGTGGGTTCCAGGCTGACACAGAGACTGAGGGGCTGTTTTAGGATGCGGACCTGCTTGAGATGAGGTGCCGATGGCAGAGTTGCTGTGTGGGTGACACCTAGGGGCACAGAGCAGGCATAGGGGAGCACAGGTGTCGCAGCCCCCGCAGGACACAGCCCAGGCTTCCGCAGACTCAGGGCAAGGGGACTCTGGGCTGGATCCCTGGGTGCTGCAGGCGTGAGCAGCACCCGCCTCCACCCACTCCTGGCCAGGAGCCCCATGTTCCCGGACATGTGTGAGCCCCACAGTTTAGGGCCCTGCCCACAAATGCCCTGAGCACCGTCCAGTGCAGGGCGGCCTGAGCGCGTGGCAGTCAGCCCGCTGGAGCCAGGAGACTGGTGCCAGGACGGACGGCTCCACGCAGGCCTGAGGTTGGTGAGCCACTAAGGCCTGGCTGGCTGGCCCGGCCCTGCCCAGCTGGCCCAGCCCTGCCCAGGCACTGGGCACCTGTACCTGCAGCCCTCTGGGCGCCTGGCAGCCTGAGAGCTGCATCTCCACGCCCCGTGGTCACTGGTGGAGGGGCAGTGGCTGCTCCGTGGGGCCCGGACTCTCCAGTGTGCTACAGTGCCTTGGTGACCCCGGGCCCAGGTCTGCATGGCCAGCCTGCTCTGGAGCTACACCTGCGGGTCCCCAGCTCCTGCCTCCTGTCATGGGGCAGATGCCTGCTGAATGGTGACAGGGTGCTGAGCATCTGTACCTTAGTAATGTTGAATCAGCAGGAGTGAGTGCCTGCAGGGGACTGGGGAGGCCTGGTGGCCCGCGGGAGGGCGGGGCTCAGGAGGAGCCTGGGAACCCGAGGAGGAGCAGGTGGGCATCTGGGTGAAGGCGGGCAGGGAGGGACGGTCAGTAGGACCCTGGGGCCAGACAAAATTGGGCTGGAGCCTAGTGCCTCAAGAGGCTCCACGGGCGGGAGTGAGCAGAGGGCCAGCCAGGCGAGCAGTGCCCAGGCCCTGTGGGCATCAGGAGAGGGACCCACGCACAACTCACCCCACGAACAGTGGGCCTCAGCAGGCCAGTGACCGTGGGCCTCAGCAGGCCAGCATGGCAGGACCAGCCAGGGAGGCTGAGGGCGGGAGCCCCTGTCCTCGAGAGTTGGCCTCTACTCCTCCTGTGCCACTGTGTGCAGAACCCTTGTCCCTGTCGCGCCACATGTGGGTGCCAGTGTCTTTTAGGCCTAGAATGATTCAGGAGAAAAGTGAGCCTGGCTCCCGAGCTCAGTCCCTTTCTGTTGGCATCAGCAGCCATCCTGTGTCGCCTCCCAGAAAACCGCAGAGCAACTGCACATCCACTTGCTTCCTGGCCTGGGGCCGCGGAGCCCTACAAGGCCAGAGTCACTCGCCCTTCGAAGGCTCTAGAAGAGCGAGTTCCAGAGTCCTGGCTTTTCTTGGGAAAGGCTGGTCCTGCCATCCGCCAACAGGCACTGGCCCCACAGTCCTCTTGACCACTCTGGCAGGTCCCCACCTTCTGCTCAGACCCTGCAGCCCCGTGGGGAGTGTCCCTGGTGCGTGTCACGATGCCCTGGCTCCCTTCACCTCTTTTCCTTCCTTCCTTTCAGATGAATTTAAAAGCCTCATTAAGGAGGAGATCGCTCTGACCAGTGGTGAATGGGAGGTTCTGGCCAGGCACGGCTCCAAGGTACCAGAGTCTCCTCTGTCCCTCCTCACGCCCTGCACGTGCTCCTGGCTTCTCTGCCCTCCCTCCTGGCTCTGCCCCTTCCTGCCCCTTCCTGCTCCTCTCTGCCCTGCTCCTTTCCCTCCTCCCTGCCTGAGCACTGAAGACCAGGAGGGACAAGTCAGAGGGTCCCGTGGCCCCGCCAGGTCCCGTGGGAGGGCCTAACCCACACTCTCAGTGCCACCAGGGTGTTCAAGTGGCCTTCTTTATATCTCAGAGCCCCCTCCCCAAGAGAAGAGTCTTCAGGACATCTGCACATCCTGTGGAATTAGAGTCATCAGGGAGTGTCCCCACAGCCACCCCATTTAGCCCCTGAGGTTCCCAAATGAAGGCACAGCCACAGAGATGAGCCACGAGCCCTGTGTCTTCACCTGGGTCCAGGGGCACGGCTGCCATTTTTACAGAGGGTTCCTGGTCACCCTCCTGGGTCCCTCCCTCTCAGAAACAAGCCCGCGCCCGTCAGTGACTTGGCATAAAGAGCAGGAGCACACAGGTGGCCTGCAGGGTGCAGACGTGGCTGGCAACGCAGAGGCCAGCACACCCTGCCCGGGCTGGAAGGGGAGCCTGGCCTCAGAGGGTGCAGTTGAGGCAGCAGGGCACAGCCCGTCGGGGACAAGCCACCTGTGTGCTGACAGCAACGTGTGTCATGCCTGACTGTGAGGTCACCCCAGAACTCTCTAGCGACGTGTGCGTGTGGTGTGTGTCATTCATGGTGGAATGTGGCCGTCGGTGACAGCATGAGCAAGCGAGGCACATGTGGTCACGGTAGATGGACGTGTCCAGTGCCCTCGCTGACTTGGAAAGATGCTGCTGAACTGTGGGGACAGGTGCGCTGTGGCACTGCAGCAGTCCCCTCTCTGGGCAGCTTCATGCCTGCGTCTTTGTGGATAGAGCCTGAGGGTCAGAATGCCGGTCTCTAAAGGTTAATTGGTGGCCAGTGGCAACCCGGCTGCTGACCACTCGCCAGCTCCCTTCTCAGCCTGGCCCTAGCAGGGGGCAGTGGGCGGCTCTGCTCCCCTCTCCTGACCTTGCTCCCTGGGCCCCACCCACTCCACAGCAGGAGCAGCCCAGTCATGCCAGCCACTGATGTGCTCAGATGTCACCCAGGTCCCCTGAAGGGCACAGTCACGTATGTGTGTGCGCGTGCATGCAGTGACCTTAAGTGTGTGGTGTCCTGAGCCAGCACAAGCACCACGTCCCGGGGGCTGTGACAGCACCCTGTCAGCACGCGCCTCTCTCCACGCTGAGACGGGGCTGGAGCATCTTAGAAGTGAAAAAGAGCCTCCCACCGGGCCCGGATTTGACCCCCGACCACAAACAAGAGGAAGGACAGAGGGCTGGGCCCTCTAAAGTACTGTCTGCCCTGTTCTGCGTCACCCAAGCCAGGCCTCGTTGGGGACAAGCCCCGGGGAGGGCCGACCTGTGCTGTGGAGCTGGGCAGTGCTGGAGGCCCAGCCTCCTGTGGGTCTAGAGAACCTGCTTGTGGAAAGCAGCTCAGGCGCCAGACACACCTGGATTCCCAGGGAGGCTGAGCCCCAGGATCAAGTTCAAGTTCAGCTTCAGCAACTTAGTGAAATCCCGTCTCAAAAAAATCACAAGAGCTGTGGATGCAGCTTAGTGGCGGGCACCACTGTGCCTACTTCCAGTCCCCCCCAATAAATGGAGCCTGGGGCGGGGTGGTCTGTGGGGGGCGCTGCCCAGCATGTGCAGGCCCTGTGTCCACCAGCACCACAGAGGACAAGACACAGCACAGAGTGTCCCCTAGGAGCCCGCCGCTGCCAGCAGCCCTGCCTCCTGCAGGCAGCAGCCCTGTGGTCTTTGTCAGTGGGGGTCAGCGGGGTTTACAAAGGCCCACTTGGCCCCCTGGCGTGAGTGGGCCTGCTCCTCCAGCGTCCTCGTCCCCATGTGGGGAATTCCTTGGGAAGGGCTCCAGCAGCCTCTGTCCCAAGTCCAGGGCTGTGCCCTCTGGAGGTGTTTTGCCTGTATGGTGCCACCTCACCTCCACCCACCAGCCTGACGTGCCCCAGGTAGCCACCTGTCCTCACCTGGTCCTCTCTCTCGGGGTTTTCTAATGCTGGACTATAGCCGGGGACTCCTGAGCAGGCGTGGGGCTGCAGCTCTGAGCTCTGCCTGGGGACACCATCTAAGAACCTGGGCCTCCTGGGCCTAGGAGGGACCTTGCTACTTCTTAACTTCTACCCTTGGCCAGAGAGACGGGCCGGCCCTGGGACCCGCGCAGCCTTCCTCCAGGCTGGTGCCTCCACAGTCCCAAGAGCCATCCAGGCTTGACCTTGTAACTGCAGCCCTCTGAAGGACATGGGGCTAGACCGGGCAGCATAGGCAGCTGTGCAGCAGAGACGGTGGGGAGCAGGTCCCCTGGCTGCAGGCAGCGGGGTCCACCGGGGCGGGATGTGGCCAGGGAGGGGGCAGGCTGGTCCCAAGCAGCTGTGTCCTCCCTGCAGATCTGGGTCAATGAGGAGACCAAGCTGGTGTACTTCCAAGGCACAAAGGACACACCACTGGAGCACCACCTCTACGTGGTCAGCTACGAGTCTGCCGGCGAGATCGTGCGCCTCACCACGCCCGGCTTCTCCCACAGCTGCTCCATGAGCCAGGTGCATGCTGGCTCCCACCCAGTGTCCCCCAGGGCTGGTGCTGCCCACTCCTACCTGGCAGGGGGAGGGAGGGATGGTGTCCCTGGGGCACCACGGCCTACCCACTGAGCCTTGGTGCCACTGCTGTGAGTGGCCCTCAGTCTTAGCTCCGAGCCGTGCAGACCCCGAGGCAGGGCACACGCACAGGGCCACTGCCAGCACGGCCAGGCGAGCAGGCCCCACAGCGGCAGCTCCCTGGACGCTGGTCCCAGACAGATCCAGGCTCAGCCCCTGTCCTTATTTGCAAATGGGGCCTTGGTAGCCACGGCGGGGGGCGGGGTGACATCAGAGGAGCAGTAGGTGAAGAGCGCCCCCGTGACCGGGCGGGAAGAGCACAGGCGCCCCGGCTGCAGGGCACTGTGCCTGTTCCTGGAGACCAGCACCTCGTCCCCCACAGAGCTTCGACATGTTCATCAGCCACTACAGCAGCGTGAGCACCCCACCCTGCGTGCACGTCTACAAGCTGAGCGGGCCCGACGACGACCCCCTGCACAAGCAGCCCCGCTTCTGGGCCAGCATGATGGAGGCAGCCAGTGAGTAGCCGGCCCTCCCTGGGGAGCTCGGCTTGCGCGTCTGTCCCCAGGTACGAGGGACGCCCTGGCGAGCAGAGGGCAGCAGCTGTAGCCCGTCCTTGCAGGAGCCCCAGGATACGTCAGAAYATAACCGTGGCCCCACAGGCCATGACCCTGTCTCAGGGACTCGGGGGTCCGTGGCACCTGCCAGGCAGCAGTGCACAGCACACAGAGCTAGGTCCCGGGGACTTCAGGGCCCGTGGGAAGGGAGCAGGGGCCATGGGAGCTCAGAGTGATACAGCCAGCTGGAAACCTGCTCCACCCTTCCACAGCCAGCTGTGCCATCCAGATGGCAGGTGACAGCACCTGCACAGAGCAGAGGTTCTGCAGCTATAGTTTCTAAAAGAAGCAGGGGTGTGGTCACCTGGGGACCTCAGGGGAACAGGAAGTATCTGAGTTTGCCCAGGAGCCCAGGGTCAGTCAGGACTGCCCAGTGGTCCCAGGCCCACGTTCTGGCTCTGGGGGACGCGCTGTGGAGCCTCAGGCTGCTGTGGGGTGGTTTCCTGGTACGGTCGTCTGTGGAGCAGATGGTGAAGACAGGGCTCAGGCAGTGCCTGGCACCAGGGGACCAGCTGTAGCCCTGACTCTGCATGTTGCGGCTTCCCAGAACATTCTAGAAACTGGAATCTTGGGCCTGCAGGGATGTCAGGGGGCCTGGCGAGCATGTTGCCCTATCCTTACCTCCTGGAGCAGCAGTGGGTAGAAGGGCCTCTCCACCACCAGCTCCACCTCACTGCCCGGTCGCCATGGAGACACCCTGGCCAGGGCAGGGAGGGGCCGGCACAGCACTGGGGTCAGAGATGGGTCAAGGATGGGACCAGGTGTCTTAGGTGTGCCACAGGTGCCTGAGGCCAACTTCCCGGACCTCCTGGTCCATGCCAGGTTAGAACCTGGCCAGCTGGGGTCACTCTCACTGCCCATGGCCGTGGCAGAGCTACAGCAGCAGCTAAGGAGTTAGGACACAGACGAACGGCCCTGGGCAGTGACCTGCCAGTCCCTTGGCTGTATTAATGACAACCTTCCTTTAAACTGACCCGCGTGTCCTGTTTTTTCCTTTGCCGGTAGTTGGACGTGGACGGGACCTTTGTTTTATGTATTTATGTAGATGTGGTGCTGGGGATGGGACTCGGTGCCACACATGTGCGGGGGAGCGCTCTGCCCCTGAGCCAAGCCCAGCCCCCATGGACCCTGTTTACCTGGGAAGCCCTCAGGGAGGCCTTGAGCAGGGCCAGTGCACCTGGCTGCCAGCCAGCCCAGGAGGGTGGCAAGGGCGGGGCCAGCCTCAGCGACTCAGAGACCCTACCTCAAAAATCGCAATGGGCTGGGTGTGGCTTGGGGGTGGAGCGCAGGGCCCTGGGTCATCCCCAGCACTGCAAAGAGCTGCAAAGAATGACCAAAGGACACAGCCCCCCACCCCGCCACCTTGCTGCAGTCCATGGGAAGCAGCCTGGGACGCGTCTGCTGGGCTCTGGGCTGGTGTCTCCGCTCTGGCGGTTAGGGTGTCGGTATCCCTGCCAGGCTGGGTGTCGTTAGGGTGGCATGAGGAAGGACAGCTGGGGGACGGGCCTTCTCACCCCAGGGCTCGCCAGGAGTGTGCAGCTTGCAGCGCCGTGTCCCTGGCTGACCAGCGCTTTCCTGGCCCTTTGACATGACCTGGGCTCAGGAACCCCAGCAACGGGGGGTGCTTTGGTCCATCCTTCAAGGCTTGGGGAGGCACAGCTGCCACAGGCAGCCCCCAGCCGCCTGGTCACAGTGCTTTCCCACAGGCTGCCCTCCGGATTACGTGCCTCCGGAAATCTTCCACTTCCACACGCGGTCGGACGTGCGGCTCTACGGCATGATCTACAAGCCGCACACCCTCCAGCCTGGGAAGAAGCACCCCACTGTGCTCTTTGTATATGGGGGTCCCCAGGTGGGTGTGGACCTGTCCTTCCCCCCGGGCCCCTGGCCTCCTACACTGGCCTGGCCTGCCTGGTGTCCCTCTCCCCAGATGCTCACTGCGCTTCCTCGCCTGCAGGTGCAGCTAGTGAACAACTCCTTCAAAGGCATCAAGTACCTGAGGCTCAACACGCTGGCTTCCCTGGGCTACGCCGTGGTGGTCATCGACGGCCGGGGCTCCTGCCAACGAGGGCTTCGGTTCGAAGGGGCCCTGAAAAACCAGATGGTAATTTCCTGGTCACTCTGGGCCCCTCCTGTGTTGTGCAGGGAGCTCTAGGTCATGTGGGGTTTGCTTAGGGCACACCCACAGCATGGAGTAAGCAGGTGGCCTTTCAGAACCCAGGGTACCTGCTTCACCACTCTACTCTGAGCTGGGCCCCGGGGGACACGGGTAGCTGTCCATTCCACCTGCTCCTGAGCCCCTGGCATAGGAGAGCGGGAACCAAACCCAGCCAGAGACCAAGGTATAGGCCAGGGCCACAGCAATTCCCGAGGTCTGGACCACAGAAAGACTGGTGGCTGTAGAAGTGATGGTGGTGATGGTGTGGTGATGGTGATAGTGTGACGATGCTGATAATGGTGTAGTCATGGTGATGGTAACGGTGCTGGTGCTGGTTGTCTCAGTTCGTCTTTATGCTGTAACAAAGTACCATGTGCTGGAAAATTCATAAAAAACAGAAATTGGGCGGTGGCAGCGGCCTGCACTCCTGATCCCCACCTGTTCAAGAGGCGGAAGCAGGAGGAGTCAAGTTCAAGGCCTGAAATACTTAGCAAAACCGTCTCAAAATAAGGGAGGTGGAGGGCTTAGCGCCAGAGCACCGGATTTCAGTCCCCGGTACCCGTCCCCCCAAGAAGACCCTCCCACTTCTGGGGGCTGGGAGTCGAGAGGAGGTGCAGGACAGGTCTCGGTGCTGCTCTGCTCCCAGCCGGCACGTCACCTTCCCGGGGGAGGGGCGCGCTATCTGGGCAGCCGGGGACTAGGGTGGGGCCCTTCTGGCTCAGGCCCTTCCTAAAGGCCTCCCCTTAAGGCTGCCCTGGCAGGAAGCCCCTCAGCCAGCCTGTGACGGTGGCTCTGCGCTCAGACGGGATGGCCTCTCCTCAGCACGCTGCTCCCTCACGCCCATTGTAACATGGGTCCTGGTCACGTGAATATCCCCATTTCAAAAATGAGTAGTCTGAGGCCCCGAGAGGGAATGGGACTTTCTCTGAGTCACTCGGGAGGCAGGTGGCAGAATAGAGCGGTGGCCAGGAACACCTGGTCACCGACCCCCAGAGCAGGTGGGTCTGAGCGGGGCTTGGCGAGACAGTTCCCGGAGAGCTGCTGTTGACCCAGGAGGGAGAGGCTCCCCGGGGTGTTCCCGGAGGAGGCCACTGAGGGTCCGGCCTCATCCCCAGGGCCAGGTGGAGATCGAAGACCAGGTGGAGGGCCTGCAGTTCGTGGCGCAGAAGTACGGCTTCATCGACCTGAGTCGCGTGGCCATCCACGGCTGGTCCTACGGGGGCTTCCTCTCGCTCATGGGGCTGATCCACAAGCCCCAGGTGTTTAAGGTGGGTCCTTCCCTGGACAGCCACGTCCACGGACCCCACTCCCTCCTGCTGGCCACCCCACTCTGCCTGCCCCCGGGGGAGGCACCTCGGCAGGGGCCTTGCCACGTGGCTGTTTCCTCCCTGCAGCAGCCCCCGGGGCCGAGCCCCCCTCCTCATGCCCGCCACGCTGACCCCAGGATGGCCACCGGCTGCACAAAACCCTGCCAGCAGCTCTCTGTGGGAGGCTGAGCCCGGGACCCCGGCCTCGGATGGGCAGAGGTGGGGCATGGTGTGAAGAGCGTCGGGGAGGGCCCAGGCCGAGGCACTGTCAGGGCACTGCGGGGCGGCCGTGAGGAGGAGGAGGAGGAGGAGAGTGGCAGGCGCTGGGTCGGGCCCGCCCTCCGCCCCAAGGGGCCTCACACCCTCCCACGGCGCCCCGCCTCCCTTGACCAGCGCACAGTCCACGGGGACAGACGCACAGTCCACGGGGACAGACGGTCTGAGGGCCACGCCCCGCCAGGCCCTTGCATGACCATCCTCATGCCCTCCAGGGGAGGCCCCGGGACAGCCGGCCACGTGCTGGCTCCTGGGACCTGACGCCTCTCTCTCTCTCTCTCTCTCTCTCTCTCTCTCTCTCTCTCTGCCCCATCTGTCCACTATACCCTTCAGGTGGCCATCGCGGGGGCCCCTGTCACCGTCTGGATGGCCTACGACACAGGGTACACGGAGCGCTACATGGACGTTCCAGAAAACAACCAGCATGGCTACGACGCGGGTTCCGTGGCCCTGCACGTGGAGAAGCTGCCCAACGAGTGAGGCCCCACCACGTGCTGAGTGCCTGCTGCCCTCCGTCTGGCCCTGCCCTTTCCCACCTGCCCAGCACGCCCCGCACGCCTGCCCTGCCCTCCACCCCTGCCTGCCATGCTGGGCCTGAAGCCTGGCCGCAAGCTTGCTGTCCCAGCGCTGTGCCTGCATGCCACCTCCTGCCAGCTTCCCTTCCCAGCGCCCCTCACAGCAAGCAGGTGCCCCGGGACGCTCGGGCGTCCACACACTGCCCAGGCACAGCCCTCCCCAGGGTACGCCCCAGAGCGTATGGCCACCGTGGCAGGGTCTTGCCCTGAACCACCTTAACAGGCGCTGGCCCCTGTGGCTTCCTGTCAGTCGGTCTGGAGGCTTGGGTGTGGTGCCACGCATTGACGCTGGCCTCCTCTGGCTGACTGGCACCTTCTGGGGCGTCCACTTCTAGCTGGTGTCCCCAGGCCCTGGGTGTTAGGAGGGGCTGAGGTCTGCTGTGTGTCCCAGTGGCACTGTGTGCAGCCAGAGTGGACTCCACTGCCCTTGCCGCACCACTGGCTCAGGGCTGCCATGAGCAACTGAACCAAAAGTCTGAGGCTGCCGAGGCAGGTGACTTCCAGGGCCGCGGGCAGCTGCCTGTGGGACTGGGCTTTACTTTGGAGGGTGTAATATTCTGGAACCAGAGAGGTGGAGGACTCACAGCCCTGCCAGGCCCCGGATGCAGCTGGATTGTCCCTTGGAAATGGCCACCTCTGGGCTTGGTGAAGTGCAACTCAGTCGATACTTTATAGAAGTAAAAAAATTTAATTCTTGCTGGGAGCGGGGCCGCACCTGCAATCCCAGCAGTGTGGAGGCTGAGGCGGGAGGATCTCGGGTTCAGAGCCAGCAGTTTGTCAAGACTGAGCGACCTGGTGAGACCCTGCTCAAAAAGGAAATGGAAAAGGGCTGTGGTGTGGCTCCGAGGTGGGACGCCTCTGGGCTCAATCCCTGGTGCCAGAAAAGAAAGGAAGACGAACTCTCTGCCATTCTGCCCCTTTCACCTGCTCAGCAGCCACAGGTGACCCAGTGCCCTGCTGGACAGGGAGCGCTAGGACACGCTGTCATTCAAAGTGCCTGAGGGGCGCGGGCGCCTCCCTGCTTTGCCTGGAAGCCCTGGACTTGTGACTTGCCAGTCCTGCTCCAGCCTTCACCTGGGTCCTGGGCCAACGGGGGCTGGGGGACCCTGAACCCGCGGTGTGTCCTCCCATCCCACCCAGGGACCCTGGCTCAGCCTCCTGCCCCACTTTGTCCTCCAGGCCCAACCGCCTGCTCATCCTCCACGGCTTCCTGGACGAGAACGTGCACTTTTTCCACACCAACTTCCTCGTCTCCCAGCTGATCCGGGCCGGGAAGCCCTACCAGCTCCAGGTGAGCCGCGGCCCGCCGCCCCGCGGGGCCACCTCACTGCCTCCCTCCGCTACCTGTGCCCAGCGCCGTCCCACCCTCCCCTGCGCCTGCAGCCCGGCTGCCCCCAAGGACCCCGTGTCCCTGGGATATCGCGCCGCTGTGTACGGTGCCTCCGAGTCCCATGCCACCTTTAGGCTGGGAACCCAGATCCCCCCAGCTGGGCCAGGAGGGGCACGGCCATGGTTGACTCAGAGGCACCCGCTGGGTGGGGATCTTACAAGGGCTCACAGGGCCTGAGGCACTCCCCTGAGCAGGGGAATGCGGGACCCAGGGGTCCCCGAGTCCCGTGGACCCAGGCCTGGGACAACTTGGTCTGTAGGAGGAAGGAGCTTGGGGAACAAGTGGCCAGAGCAGCCTGAGCAGAGTGGGGGTGGGGCCAGCTGGGTGTGGCCTTGGGGACAGTGAGGTTTGGCGGGTTTAGGAGGGCTCCACTGTGGGTGGAGCGTCGGTGGGGAGGCCTGGCTGGGGAGGCTGGCCTTCGTCAGTTGGGGATGGGGCCTCAGAAGGATGGTCTTGCCTGTCAGAGGAGGGTGCTGTGTGTCTGTGAGGGCCATAGACAGGAGGGAGGCTGAAGAGCCGACGGCGCACTCTCCCCATCCCACGCAGCCCTAGGGGCTGCACTGGTTGGCGAGTCCTGGCAGAGGTCTCAGTGGGTGACTCGCCCAGGGATGGATTACAGAAGACAAGGGTAGAGGAGAGCAGACCAGCSGGTGGCCTGGTGCCTGGGTGGTGGTTGAGGGCCTGGAGAGGAGGGATGGGCCTGAAGCCCATTTCCCTGGCAGGAAGAGGCGGGGAATGGCACCTGCCTGTGCTGCTGGGCAGCCCCAGTGTGACGCGAGCTGGGTCCTTGGGAGGGGCTCCCTGGTGTGAGGCCTGCTCCTTGGACCCTGGGGGCAGCAGGGAGCTGTTGGAAGGCTGCTTTATGGCAGGTACCAGACCAGTGTCTCTGTCTCCCCCGCCCAGGGGCCGGGCATGGGCAGCACAGGTCAGGGCACCGCTGGTTCTGACCCCGGCACAGTGCCGGGCCGCAGCCCGGGGCCTGGAGCTTGGAGTGGCTGAGGGTAAGGGCGCCCTCCTGGGCCCCACCTTGGCCTCCTCGCCCGGGAGGGGTGAGGAAGGGGCACCCCTTCCACCCATACTTCCTGAACCCTGCCAAGGAGCCAGGGGGGCCTGGACTTCTCCCCGCACTTCCAGGAAATGCCCGCGTTCCCCGGGGGGTGCCAGAGGTGGGCTCCCGGAGCACCCAGCCCGCGCCTGTCTCCCGCAGATCTACCCCAACGAGAGACACAGCATCCGCTGCCCCGAGTCGGGCGAGCACTACGAGGTCACGCTGCTGCACTTCCTGCAGGAATACCTCTGAGCCGCCAGGAGCTCCACACAGAGCACAAGGGCCTCTGCGGCTGCCACCACCGCAGGGGACCAGGCTGCCACCCTGCGGGGGACCAGGCCGGAAGGACCTGGTGGCCCAGGCCCTGTGGAGGTGCCTCCTCCCAGCACCCCGCCGGACAGCCCTGGAGCCGGGGAGCACTGCCTTCGCTGCCCTGAAGCCTTGGTCTTCCTCCTCACTGCTCCCGGGTTCTTTGCTTGCTGCTTCTTGGTGGCCAGGACAGAGATGGTGGCCTCTCCCCACGAGGCACTGCCTCGAGTCGTCCCTCCTCGCCCTGCCTTCTGGAAGGAGAAGGCCATGTCCCCACAGGGCCCTGGAGACACAGAAGAGACTGGGGGCCAGGAGGCTCCCACCTACCTGCCCTGGGTCTCCACCCTGTGGCTCGGGCCTCTCCTCCCACCCCCGGCCAGCCACCGTCCCCAGCACAGGAGCATGCAGACGCCTGTCCTTCCGCCGGCCACCCACTTCATATCTGTGTTGTGTTTTGGGGGCATTTTAAGTAATTATTTAAAAGACAGAAAGCAAGGGGTACCTGAATGAGAACCGGGCGTGCGCTGGACGGCGGCGCTGCTGCCCAGCCAAGGTGCCTGAGCCCGCTCCCCAGCCTAGGGCGGAGCAGCAGGGCCGCCCCGGCGCCGGCCCCAGCTCTCTGGTGGCTCTGGGTGCCTGTGGCTGCCGGCCCCTCACTAGCCCAGGGGCAGCCACATGCCTGGCCCCCGTGTGCCAGGTTCTGGGGTTGGGAGCTGGAAACGCCCCACCTCGGGGTCACACTCTCCCTTTGCCTCCCTGCCAAGAGATCAGGCGAACGGAAAAGAAGAAAGAAAAGGAAAAACAGAAACCACCTCTACATATTATGGAAAGAAAATATTTTTGTCGATTCTTATTCTTTTATAATTATGTGTGTGAGAAGTAGACTCATTAAACAGTCCCACACGGAAGCCTTGCGCCTGCTGAGGCCCCAGCGGGAGGGCGGGGCCCCTGCCACAGCCTCAGCAGGGCCRCCGGTGGGGCCTGGCCAGAGCATCCCGCCTGCAAGGGCCCAGAGGCCAGCTGCGCCCTGCTGGCGCCACGCTCCCCCCCTCTGGTGCCTGTCCGTGTCCACAGGGTCACAAGGGCCAGGCGGGAAGATGTGCCCTCTGCGTTTCTGTCGCAACGGCTAAGACCCAGGGAGGCCTTGGTGGGGCGGCTTGGGCATTGAGGTTTACAGTGCTGGGCCAGGCTGCCTGCCCAGGCCCTCTCTCCGTCCTTTGGGAAGCCCAATTCTAAAAAATGAATTAGAAACCAAAAACTCAGGCCGAGGCAGTTAACTTAATGACATCCTGTCCCAAAAAATAAGGGCTGGGCCGTGGCCCAGGGGGACAGCTTGCCTCGGGCCCAGCCCAGCACCACAGGCAAGAAGGCACATTCACATAAATCTGAAGACCATTACCAAACTGCCTCCCAAAGAGAACCCCTCAAAGTACCTCCCGCAAGAGAGGCGCAGGGCGTGCCTGCTTCTCTGCTCTGCTCCCAATGTGATGTGTTACCAAATGGCATCATCTTTGCCAGTCTTACGAGTGGCACCTCTAGGTAAAACTCCATTGTTCTTTCCTGTGGTGATCTTTTCATATTTTAAAACATCCGTTTTCTAGTAGTCATTTGTTTCTGTCCTTTGTCCACCTTTATTTGACCTGTGGGCCTCATTGATTTGTAGGTGCTCTTTATATGTGAAGGAAATCAGTCCATTGTCATATGTCAATCTCAGTGTGTTGTAATGGTAAGAAGCTCAGCCAATGAATCTTAAAAAACCATTCTGTTGAGAAAAAGAAAATGTCGTTCACTTAACATTGCGAAATCGAATACCTAGGGGCACACTCAATTCACAGGCTAGAGATCACAGAGTGACCAAGCCGGTGGGAAAGGGGTTGCTGAGGTTGCCCAAGGAGGCCTGGCTGCCGGAGACCCGCACTTTCATCAACTGTCCTACCTCACTCATTTAATGAGGAGTGTTGTTAGTCTCGAGTGGGTCACTTCCTGTCCAGGGCCACTATGCAAGGGGAAAGAAGGGAGTGGGTGGCAGCTGGGCCCACTGTCTTCTTGGCTGCAGGGGGATCCTCTCACCACAGGGGCTGCTCCTCTCAGGCTGGGTTACTTTTCTGTTTGTGGCCTCTCCTGATTGGCAAGGAACACTGTGACAGAGGTCCCCTCCCCGTGCAACCTGCTGCAGGTATTCACCTGGGGTCATTTGCCTTTCAGACACATTTCTTATTTAAAAGTAATAATTGGGCTGGGGTGTGGCTCAGTGGGACAGCACTTGCCTGCCCACGCCAGGCCCTGGGTTCCGTCCCCAGCACAGCACACAGAGCGCAGGCGTGAGGCTGCAGGCTGGGGCATGGCTCAGGGCAGAGCCTGTGCTTAGCATGCACGAGCCCTGGGTTCCGTCCCAGCACCGCCAGACGGACAAACCAGAGAGACACACAGGAAGTTGAGAAAGTGGTACCAAGAGCCTGGGGTGTCCCCAGCCGGCTCCCTGAGGCTGCCGGCTCCCAATTTGGGTTTTACCCCTTTTCACATGCACTTTGCTTCTGCTCCATGTTGTCACCTGCACAGATTCCCGCGGCCAGCACTCAGCAAGAGTGCTTCCTACACGGTACCCCTGTGCGTCCACCCACCCCTCCAGGGCTCCTGGACAGAAGAGATGTCCACAAGGTCAGACCCACTCCTGTGGGATGCTGGGCTCACTGTCGGGATTAGAAGGCAAGATCTTTGGGATGACAGGGACCTTTTAATTCCTTCACAGTGATTTATTTTTCATGTTTGTTAGAAAGAAAAAAGGAAGAACGGAAGTTGCTTGGGACTTGGGGTCTTTCCACAGACACAGACAGATGTCCTCAAACGCCGACCCACTTCAGTCACAGCTGAAATACCTGCTGTCCCAGAGCTTGGCCACTAACTGAATCCTTCATGGTGACAGGGTGAAGCTGGGTGGTGACAAGGTGATGGGGAATCTGTCAGTGGAACCCAACTGTGTCAGGCGCCCTAGGTAAACAAGTGTGGTCGTCCAGCTTCTAGTGCCCAGAGCAGGCAGTGGCCAAGAGGAGGCCATTTCCCTCCTCTTTTGGTGCTAGGGACGGAACCCGGGGCCTCAGACATGCCAGGCAGGTGCTCTGCCACTGAACTACATCCCCAGGGATGACAGGTGTGCACCACCCCACCTGGCCAAGAGGGAGAAACGCACCCAGCCTGGCCTTCCCATCAGCTGCGGAGGCTTTGGCAGGACCCTCCTTAGCTCCAGGATGCCAACCCCAGCCTCGTGTCTGGGGGAAGAGGGTTTAGTTCCTCGAAGGGTGAGTAGGGCCTGGCTTCAGGGTTTTACCTAGGACACTTTCCCCTGGACTGCTCTTCCCTCACCAGGACTAGGAATACCAGCTGAACTCCTCACCCTCCAGACCTGTCCACTGGTGTTTTCCTGACATGTTAGGCAATTTGTAACCAAAACAATGATTTCCTTCCAAACTTGAAAGCCTGGAATTTCTTTTATTTTTGCCAGTACTTACAGAATACTTCACCAGCTTCTGTAATCAAACCCACATCGACATTACATATTTAGTAGAGTGCATTATCCCTGTACAAATGGAAAAAAATCGTTTTAATGTTTCTAGATCAATATGAAAGCCTAGAGGGTCTTTTTTTTTTTTTTGGTGGGGAGAGAGGGTACCAGGGATTGAACTCAGAGGCACACAACCACTGAGTCACATCCCCAGCCCTATTGAACATTTTATTTAGAGACAAGGTCTCAGTTACTTAGTGCCTCGCTGTTGTTGAGGCTGGCTTTGAACTTGCAACCCTCCTGTCTGCCTCCCGAGCCGCAGGGAAAGCCTGGCCTTTCCTAATGGGCATCTGTCTGTAGTGGCAACTAGAGCTCTCCCAGTGTGGGAGAGGAATTCCACCCGCATTCCCTCACTTAACCCTCTTGTCAACCCTTAAAGGAGGGTTTTTTCTTTTTCATTGTTAATTCTGAAGTAATTTCAGGCTCTAAGATAAGTTGCAAAAATTGTCCGGAGCCCCCTGACAGCTCAGTCCAGCTCCGCCTAGGGGCAGCTTCTTCAGGAGCTGCAGAGAGCGGGGTGCTTGAGGCCAGGGGTGACCATCTACCTGTCCCGACCACCACCCTACGGACTGCATCAGATTTGGAACAGCTCTTCCTCCTGTGTCCCTCCCACAAGGGTCCCGCAGTGTGTCCCCTTTTGTTGGGTCTCATTCTGTGATGGTTTCTCAGTCTGTTATGTGACACACTCCTGGAGCCTGCCAGTTATTTTGTAGAATGTCCTTTGATTCACATCTGTCCAGTGGTCAGCTCATGATCAGATGAGGTCACACGTGTTCAGCAGGAGTCCCACGGGGTGCCGTGCCCCTCTCAGCATGTCCCAGCAGGTCTGTGATGTCGCTGTCATTATTAGCGATGTGAACTTTGCCCCCTGGGTGAGGGGGGCCACCACCACATTACTTTTCCCCTTTGTCACTGGTAAGTGCGGGGGGGGGGGTGCTCCTGAGTTGGGGGACATGCCCTTCGCGTCCTGCTGGAGTGGAGGACAGACTCCTGCAGGTCTGTCCACCCAAGCCGCCACACGGCGCAACGGAAAAAAGAAAAAAAAGCCCAAACCAGCATTTTTACATGAGCAGTCCCTCCAGACCCTCAGCGAAACATCCAAGGTGTCTGTCTATGACGGCGACAGCCGCCGGCGACGTCCTAAGTGGCATCACCTAAAAGCAGAGGCAGGAGACACATTTAAAGTGACCCGGAAACAAGACCACTGTTAAACGAGAACACTCCCTTCTGCGTCCCCGGCGGACCTGGGCTGCCACCGGGACCGGGCGTCCAGCTCAGGCGACAAACTCGTCCCGCGCCCCAAGCGGAAGCGCCGTAACGCGGGACACAGAGCCCAAGCCCCGCCCCCAAGATGGCGAACGGGCGGGGCGTATGGCCACGTGACGGCGCAGAGGCCGACGTGGCCGGCGTCGGGCGCCGCGCGTGTCCCTCGCCGCGTCCCGTCGGCCCGCCCTGAGCCGAGGACCCGATCCCAAGATGGCGGCGCCCAGCGAAAAGAGGGACGGCGGCAGCGCGGGCTGGTGGGCTGCGCTGCTGTTGGTCGTAGCGCTGAGGCCGGCGGAGGCGGTGTCCGAGCCCATGACGGTGGCGTTTGACGTGCGGCCTGGGGGCGTCGTGCACTCCTTCTC